AAAACTTTCATTTTGAACGGCGCGCTGCGCAAATCGCAGCAGCAGGCAGCAGCAAAAAGCCCTCCAAACTGCTGCTGCTGCTGCTGCTGCTGCTGCTGCTGCTGCTGCTGCTGCTGCTGCTGCTGCTATTTGAGCCGTCACGTGCAAAGGGAAAAGTGGAAAGAGAGGCAGAATTCAGGGAGGCGGCCGAGAAACAGCAGAGAGATAAACCCTAAACCCTAAACCCTTGACCCTTAACCCTAAAACCTAAACCCTAGACCCTAAACCCTAAACCCTAGAAACATCCACCAAGGCTTGGGAAGTGTAAAGCTTAAACCCTTGACCGTAAACACTGAGCCCTAAACCCTAAACCCTGGATACACCAAGTCGCAGCCCTAGCACCAAACCCTAAACCCTAAACCCTAAACCCTGAACCCTAAACCCTACCAGTTTGTCCTGCAGGGCTTTGTAGGCGTTGACTTCTTTTTGCTGCTGCTGCAGCACTCGCAAAGAAGCCAGCAGCTGCTGCTTGCTGCTGAAGGCAGCACGAGCTTCTCTGCGCAAAGCTGCTGCTGCAGCTTCAGCAGCAGCAAACTGCTCGCCCCATTCCTCGCTGCAGCCGCGCCCACAACCCTAAACCCTAAACCCTAAACCCTAAACCCTCAGTTGCACAGCGGGGATTGCTGTTTCGAGTACGTGGGCTTTCATTGGAGCCTGCACAGAGCTAAACCTTAGTCCTAAACCCTAAACTCTAAACCCTAATCCCCAAACCCTAAAGGCCCCGCCTGAACCCTAAACCCTAAACCCTAAACCCTGACCTGCTGGCAACTCGCTCTATGAGACGCGCTAGGTCCAGAGGATATCTTGCAGCAGAAGTCACTAATGAGTCGCCCTGCAGCAGCAGCAGCAGCAGAACGTGTATCAGCAGCAGCAGCAGCAGCAGCAGCACGTGTATCAGCAGCAGCAGCAGCACGTATAGCAGCAGCAGCAGCAGCAAAACGGGGCCGCTCCACTGGCAGCAAAAAATAATAGAAACAAGTACGAGGCGGGAAGGCAGAACGGAGGCAGAAGCCCCAGGGAAGCAGCCTTTAACCCCCAAACTCTAAACCCTAAACCCTAAACCCTAAACCCTGAACTCTGAGCACCTCACCTGCAGCAGCAGCGAAGCAGCAATGGTGTGGGGCCCCAGAGAAAGCTTTTCGCTTAAGACGCTGCGGTACTCTTCTGCTGTTACGCGGCGGCCGTTAACAGTATACGTGCTGCTGCTGCTGCTGCTGCTGCTGCTGCTGCTGCTGCTGCTGCTGCTGATCTGCCGCCGCAGCACCAATACCTCTCCCTCGACGTTGGGCGCCGGCCGGCGGCGGAAGTGCAGCGCCACAGCAGTGCTGCAGACAAATGCGCAGCAGCAGCAGCAGCAGCAGCAGCAGCAGCAACGGCACATGCAGCAGCAGCAGCGGACCATACAGCAGCCACAATAGCAGCTCATACAGCTACAGCAGCAGCAGAACACACAGCAGCAGCAGCGGCAGATCGCACAACAGCAGCAGCAGCAGATCCCACACCAGCAGCAACGGCAGACCACACAGCAGCAGCAGCAGCCGACCCCACAGCAGCAGCAGACCAGGCAGCAGCAGCAGCAGCAGCAGCAGCAAGTTGGACGCACAGTCCTTCGTTTTGCTGCAGCAGCGAGAAGTGCCGCAAATCCACCAAGTTGCTGCTGCGGAGGCTGCGGCCGCTGACGCCCAGCCCGAAGCAAATTGCGTCTGCAATGTTGCTCTTCCCTGCACGCCCCAAACCCTAAACCCTAGGCCCTAAACCCTAAATTCTAAACCCTAAACCCTAAACCCTAAACCCTACACCCTAAGCTCTAGGCGCCAAACCACAGGCCCCCAAACACTTAATTTAGGCCCTGAACACTGGACCTTAAGCCTTAAGCCCTACGCCCCAAACCCTAATCCCCAAACCCTAAACCCTAAACCCTAAACCCTAAACCCTAAGTGCGCAGCCACCTGAGCCGTTGGCGCCTATGATGGCCACGCTGCTTTGGAGGGGCCCTATGACATGTTTGCCTTTGTAGGATTTGAAATTTTCGAGAACAATGTATTCCAAAAAGAACCGCTGCTGCTGCTGCTGCTGCTGCTGCTGCTGCGGGGTGGACTGCTGCTGCTGCGGCGGCGGCAGCTGGCTCGCCGTGCCTTCAAAGAGAGAAGCAATGGAGCAGGGGAAGGTCGAAGCAAACTGCTGCTGCGATATGCTGCTGCTGTGCTGCTGCTGCTGCTGCTGCTGCGCCGAAGACAAAGCCAGGCCCCAGGCCCCGTCAGCTGCCGCGAGAGAGTCACAATCCGTCGAAGCTGCCTGCTGCTGCTGCTGCTGCTGCTGCTGCTGGCTGCTGCTGACGCTGTCTCCAGCGCTCCTGCTGCTGTCTGCGTGGGGATCCATTGTGCAGCTGCAGCAGCAGCGTCAGCAGCCGCTGCTTGTGTGTCAAAGGAGCAGCAGCAGCAGCAGCAGCAACTGCGGCCACAGCTCCTGCTGAAGTTGAAATCCTCTCTAAGTTCTTCTTTGTTGCATGCTGAAGAAGTAAAAAGACGAAAAAGAAAGAAAGAAGCCAGAAGAGTCTGTGCTGCAGACAAAGTTGCTGCTGCGGAGCAGGAAGCGCTGCGCAGCGACGGAAAACCCTAAAAGAGCGGATAAAAAAGAAATAAAAAGAGTTTTATAAATTGTATTTTTCATTTCAAAGAAGATTTCGCAATTAATCGCCGCTCAAGTGATCGCTTTCCTCGCAGATCGCAATGGTGGGGTTGGTGGTTCAAGAACACCACTTCTGCTGCAGACGCAGAACTCACTCAAGAAGCCCTAAACCCTAAACCCTAGACCCTAAACCCTAAACCCTAAGCATTATACTCTAAATTCCAAACCCTAAACCCCAAACCCTAAGCCATTGAACTCCAAAGGAAAAGTTTAATTCCGAAAACGAACTTGAAGCGTTCTGGCGCGCTCACCATCTGTACATACACCCCAGCTCTGTCTGTGCAAAAGAGTCTCAAAATGAATAAAATAAATAAAATAAAATAGAATAATTGAAAAATAAAAATAAACATTATAAATATATTATTTCCTTCAATTTTAATGAAAGAAAACCTCCTGAAATCGACAGCCTCACCAGACACCCGTGGGGCCAGCAGGCCGCAGGGAAGATCTGCATGTGCAACTCCACACATACTGTGCCGATTAGCTAGCTAGCTAGCTAGCTAGCTAGCTAGCCAACTATTTAGCTAGCTAACTAGCTAGGTAGTAGCCAGCTAGCTAGCCAGCTAGTTGGCTAGCTATTTAGCAAGCTAACTGTCTAGGTAGGTAGGAAGCTAGCTTGCTTGCTAACTAGCTACCTAGCTGGTCGCGTAGCCTAGCTAGCTGGCTGGCTAGCCGCCCAGCTTTCTGCCTAGCTAGCTGCCTAGCTAGCTGCCTAGCTAGCTAGACAGCTAGCAAGGCAGCTAGCTAGCTAGTGCCGAGGTAGCTAGCTGGCCGCCGAGTTCGCTGTCCAGCTAGGTAGACTAATGCCTAGCTAGCTAGCTAGCTAGCTACTTAGTCGGCTGTCTAGCTAGCTAGCTGGCTGGCCAGCTAAGCAGCTAGCTATCTAACTAGCTAACTGGCTAGCTAAGCAGTTAGCTAGCTAGCTAGCCAGCTAGCTAGCTAGCTAGCTAGCTAAGCAGCTAGCTAGCTAGAGATTTCTGCTGGGGGAAAGGCCTGCCGTCAGGCAGTGCTATCCGTAGCCGGGTATGGCCCACTCTCTGCTTGCAGGGTTAAGGGTTTAAGGTTTAGGGTTTAGGGTTTAGGGGATAGGGTTTAGGGTTTGGGGTTTCTTTTGGCAGTGACTCACGCTGTGGGTTTAGAGTTGGGGTGTATGTACACCTCGAGTGGACAGTTAAAAAGATAAATTGGAAAATTAATTTTTCACTTTTTTTATTTTTGTCTTTGAGTCCCTCCCGAGCTCTAACGCACTTGCTGCTTGTTTAGGGTTTAGGGTTTAGGGTTTAAGGTTTGGGGTTTAGGGTTTGGGGTTTAGGGTTTAGGGTTTGCATAATTCGGGCTTGTGCTGCAGCTAGAATGGAAGCTGCTGCTGCTGCTGCTGCTGCTGCTGCTGCTCTGTATTTGTATTTGTTTGCACTTTTATTTTCTTAAATTATCTCTTCATAGCCAATTATTTAATTAATTAGTTATGTAATTAATTAATTAAAAAATTAATTAATTAATTAATTAATTATTATTTACTTATTTATTTAATAATCCTTTTCCCCCTTCCTTTCCGTCCTTTTCGGAAGTCCCTTGTTTGGCTTTCCGCAGTTTATGTTAGGAAGCTGAGCGCTAGGGTTTAGGGTTTAGGAATTAGGGTTTAGGGTTTAGGAATTAGGGTTTAGGGTTTAGGGTTTCTTGGGCACTGCGAGCTGTTTTCCTTTTGCTGTTTGTTCGCTGCTGCAGGTTAGCTGCTGCAGCAGAAAGAGCTTCAGGGTTTGCACTAAACCCCCCGGGTCTTTAACCTTAAACCCTACACCCTAAACTCTAAACCCTAAACCCTAAACCCTAAGCCCTAGTGCGTGGCTGCAGAGAGTCTGAGTGTACAGACACCCCGAAAATGAGAACTTTGCTCCACTGAATTCTCCCTTTAAATTTCTTCAGAAATACCTCCAACATACTTCATTTGCAGCCTTCACGAACCCTCAACCCTAAACCGTAAACCGTAAACCCTAAACCCTAAACCCTAAACCCTGGGTGCCTTGTTCTACCTCGTTGTTTCTGCCTCTTTAGAGTCTGCATGCGTTGCAAAAAGCAAATAAAAAAACAAATGATGAATAAAAAAATAACAAATAACAAATAATGCAACCAAACAATAAAAGAAGTTAAAAAGTCAATTAAAATGAAGTCCGTTGAAAACCAAGAAACGGCGTCGCCGCACTCCGCTGGGTGTACGTACACCTAACGGGGTGTATGCGCAGCTCGACTGCAAGTCGTTTGGATTCATTTTGAAGTAAATGGACCATTTAAATGGTTTTTTGCGACATACTGATGAATTAATTGATTAATTTAATTAATTTAATTGAAAATAAAGGAGAAATAACTCCAAAATGAATTAAATTCACTTTTCCGCTTCTTGCTGCTTCGCCCGCCTCATGGGCACCAGATTTCTCTTGCGCTCCTTCGCGAGGATTTTTCTTTCTTTTTTTATTTCTTTTTTGATTTGTTTCTTTTTGGAAGTTTGCTGCTGCAGCTCCTGCTGCAGCAGCAGCCGCAGCTGCTTCTTGCTGGCGTAGTGAGGCTTCTTTCCCGTTGCTGCTATTCTTTCTCTTTCAGCTTTGCTGATTTTGGCCTTCACTGCTGCTGCTGCTGCTCGCCGCTGCCGCTGCTGCTGCTGCGACTGCAGCCGCTGCAGCTGCTGCCTCGCCTGCTCCCGCTCTGCCTCGCTGACTTTGAGGCCCTTCTTCCTGCTGCTGCTGCTGCTGCTGCTGCGGGGCAGCCTGCCTGTATTGACTACGTGCTGCAGCTGCTGCATCAGCTGCTGCTGCTGCTCATCTAAGAAGGCATAGGCCTTTGCACAAGCAGCAGCATTCAGCTCGCCGCAAAGCTTCGAGAAGCGAGGGTCTCTGTTGCTGCTGCTGCTGCTGCTGCTGCGGTGCAGCCCCGACCGCAGCCGCTTCAGCTGCTGCGCAGCAACTGCAGCACGGTACGCCAGCACCTCTGGGGACGCTGCTGCTGCTCTGGCTGCTGCTGCTGCTCTGGCTGCTGCTGCTGCGTCCCCTGCTGCTGCTGCA